TTGAAACTCTAAATGATGGGAAATAGGAAACAGCCATTTTGACTGCAAAAATGGATTCCCCACAAGCAAGATAAACAATTCGCTCCGGAATACCCACATATAGTACTCTCCAAATTTTATAGTTTGAGTCTCATTGTTCTTAAACAGCTTCTTTGATTTGCTGACTTCCTCCAAGCCCTCTGGCCCCAAATGCATACAAGTCGCAAACAAAAGTAGCCACCTGAATTGCTTCTCTATCTCCAATCAATCACTCAATGACGTATAGCAGCTTTGTACTCTGTGGCGCGCGGTGGACCTCTGAACGAGCAAAAATCATAACAAAGTAGAACGTGAATCTATCTTGTTTGTAGTAAGTCTATGACAAGGACGACAAGACCCTCCTCTGCCGGCCCCTTCCCGGGTTGGTGAATCATAGCCCTTTCTGCATCTCGTTCTCGGTTTTCCTTCAGCTTCACTTCATTGGTTCTTACGCATGCTCGTCACGTCGCGCATCCAATCAGAATCAGAGTGGTCATTCAATCGCCTCTGCTTCCGAGACTCAAGAAGAAGCGGACGCGCGTGGCGAGAGGGCGGGTATAGGCTGTACGTGTGACTACGAGAATTAAATAACCTGGCCAATATTTTGCAGATTTCTAGGGACGGGCAGCGGGCGCGGGGGGCGTGCTTTGGGGCTGTTAAATCCGGGAGTAGACTAGGGTTTCGAGTTGGGGTGGGTTTAGCTGCTCTGAGTCTCGTGCTTGCTTGGCCTCGCCTCGTGCAGACCGAGAACGGGCAACGGGCAGCCCATCAGAGGTTGAACTCGAATTCCCATTAGCCCTCCTTAATGCGGCCGGTGGCTTGGCTGCTGAGGGCATCCCGGGACAAGGGTGCCTTTCGCCCGCTGTGCGAGGTGGCAGGAATAGCTCCGCTGTTTTCCGAAACAGCGGCCCCGTGGGGTGTGTTTTGCTGAGGGAGAGCGACTGTCCCAAAGTCACCCGGAGAGCTTTCATGGCTGGGAGTGGGCTTGAACCTGGGCCTCTGCGTTCCTAAGTCCGTTATTAAACTGTTAGCCCTTTCCCCCAAAGATCAGTTCATATTGCTGGGCTGGAGATTCTCTTGTGAATGTAAAGAAGAAAGAGGTGCGAATGCTACGTTATGGCCCAAACCTGGCTCCCCTAAAGCAACCGCATCATTGTGAAGATACAGCATAATTTTATTAGCGTGCAACCAATAAAACAGTATATACTGGGTTCCCAGCAAAGCATTGGCAGCTTGTTGGGCAGCCCTGAGCAAAGGCAGAACCACAGCATATGTACCCTTGGCCTGCTACATTGCAAAGGCAAGGCAAAGAAAAAGGTAGACACCGTATAAATTACAGCATGATTGGGATGGTTGCAATACTAGGTCAGCGTGCTAGCCATACTATCTCTGAGATAAGGTCAGTGAATAGAAACAATTGTGCGGTTTCATCGACCACAGGTTCCTGACAGTTTCTTCCCCCATCGCCACCCAGCTTGTTGTGAAAGTTTTCCTACAAGGGCCCTTCAAGCAGTTCACAAGACTAAGGGGGCATCTCATAGGTTTGGTAGTGAGTGCAGCTGACATGTATATGGGAGGGGTACCTTTTATCACCACACCTATTCCCAAAAGACATGTAGCTCTCTTCCTTAATGTAGAGATTTTGTATTGCCCACTGCCTGTGAATGTATTTGGAGCCTATTTTGGAGAATTACACTGGTTGCTTGCTTTCTACAGGGCTTGGGGTCCTGTTTCCTTTACTCTGTCAAAGGAGCAGTGAATGATTACACCTGTCATAGAAAAAGAACCTGGGGTGCTTCTGACCAGTCAACGGGAGCAGATGTCAAACCGGGCACTACTAAGGGAAGTGGGGGAAGAGGCAAAGTTGCCTGACAAAGAAGAGCTGAACAGAAAGGTCAGTGGAAAAGCAATGAAATTAATAGAATGAGAGACACTAATATGGCAGATATATGTTTATAATTCCTGATGGTAGAATCTTGGTAAAATAGAAGTAAACTCTGCTTTCAAAAGAGATGCAAAGGGGTAACTTTCAGAAAGGAATCCTGTCGTAGTGAGACCAACAGTTTGATATCCCAAGACTGTTATGCTAAACATGTATTAAGGATTAGGCTCCATTGGACTTGAGGCTTTGTACTCACTGCATACGTGCAGCCTAATGTATTGCACTTTGTTGAAATAATAACTTCTCTTGAAAAATATGAGAGTTTTAAGAGGTATTCCCACTGAAGATGAGGATGCTCCCTTTAACATAGAAATACAGTTTGGATTATTTTGAATTTGCAGAAACTCCCATAAAAATATACATTTTTGCTCTGCTGATGCTGGAGAATTAAAAATATCTTCAGTTTGGCTTGTTGCTGAAATTATAGGTAAATGTAAAAAAATTGCTGGTTGTGGAAAAATAGATTTATCATCTGAATCCATGTATTAATAGTGAATGTCTTAAAATCTGAGCTTTGAAACTCTAAATGTGTAATTATAGTGAGTGCAATCTCTTTAACCATAACAATCTATGGTTTCTTGTTAACTGAATCATTTTAACCATGTTTGGGTAGAAGTATTTCTATATAAGATACTAACTTATACTGACATAGTGTGTATTTATCTGAACTAAATCCTGTGTTTCTACTCATGTGAATACTCAAGGAAGTTATAACAAAATTGAAGCATAAAACAGAATTTTTAAAACAGAAATTAAAATGAATGCTTGAATTATAAGGCAACTGAAAGTTAAATGTCTGGTGAAAAAATAGGCCTTCAAAGATTTTCTAAATGGAATGAAGAAGTGAATTCTGCAGGCTGCAAGTGATGTAGGAGAAGCACCCTTTTGCCTGTCAGGTAGCTAAATCTCTGATAGTAGGGCCATCTTCAATAAAATCTGTTGCTTGACATGTGTGAAGAAGATGCTAAGAAGCCTCCAAACAATTTCTAAATAAACATCACTTGGCTAGATTTTATGATGGAATAAATTTGATACACATAAATGTTTATTTTACTTTTTTAATATATGTATATTTTAGGGAGACTTAAAAAGCTAGCTCACAAATTTTGCTTAGAGATCTAGGGCTTGTTTTTCATGGAAATGAGATATTTTTTCATCTTGCAGATTAAAGAACAAAAAATTGTAGTTGATGAAATTTCCAACTTGAAGAAGAACCGTGTAAGTGACTATAAAGATCTGTTAATAGATTACTCCTAGCTATAAAGGAAAGAGAATTGTGAGAAAGTGATACCGAGGTTTGTGCGTATTAGCAGCAAAATGCAGATGTAGAATGAGCAGATGTAGCCATGCTGACACTGTAAAATATCATACTATTTTATTAAGCATGCTGAATTGTGCTGGTCTTGCTGATTTGGTGACAAGTTCTGATCCAACTCCATCTCCCTCATCAACAAATTCAGTGGTATTGATACAGTGTTCCATAAAACTATTATACATCTAGTGATAATGGCTGTGATTGATAAACCAGAAGTAACCCTACTTGGAGGAACAATCAAAATACTGAATAAATGTGTAAAGTCACAGTATGCAACATGCAGCACTTCCACATGTATGCATTTTTATCAGCATAGCTTCTCCTAGAATCTGCACAATATTGACTGGACTCTTTTAAAAATTGGTATTGGGTTGATGATGTGAGCATTGGCTTTTGTTTAATTTCACACAAAATGTGCACACTGGTAAAAGGATGTGTAATAATCCATCACTGACAGTGAGAATGGGTAAGCATACACCGTACCATGATAGCAGTATGCAAGGTGAACACTTTTTTGTGGTGTGCCTTTTAGACTACAAAGCTGTGAGCAGGAACTGCATTGTTTTTACTATGGGTTTTTTTGGGTTTTTTTTTTTGCAAATCCCTCTGAAAACTACTTCCATGATTACAGAGGATATTTAAATCCTTTAACTATGGGTTACTAAATAGAGAGAGAAAGAAAAAAAAATTTTTGTTTATGATGGCATCCAGCTAGGGACTAGTTTTTAGCCCATGAGAGAGGGATCTGTTGAGGATTCCACCCACAGAAGTTGTATGGACCAGGACTCTTTCAACGTGGTCCACGTGGGCCTGCCATTGAGGACAACACAGAAGCTATATTTGCTACCAAATGGTAGCAGGGCAAACTTGCTACTTTAGAAGAACACCTATATTGCTGTTATTCATTAGCTGGCAGTAGGCTTTTGAGTTTAGTTCAGACTGCTTGTTATTACCTATGAAGCCCTATGCAGCGCAGCTGTAGAGTACAATAGGAACTGCTTTATTCACCATCATTGTCATGTTCTGTGCAAGCATCTAAGGAGGGCCTGCTAAGGATCATACCCACAGAAAGTAAACGGGATTATAGATCAGGAGGCAGGCCTTCTCCTTGATGGCCCCCACTTATAAAATATGTTACCCTCAGAAATATATCTGGCCCTAACCTTTCTGGCATTTTGGAAAGTGGTAAAAACTATATTTTTGGAATGTACTTTTGGTTCCTAGCATTTGTGGCTATCTTTTAGTAATGTTTAATGACTTACAGATTTTGTTTTACTATGAGGGATTGATGGTGTATTTTCTTGTCATTTATTACTGTTTACCACCCCTAAACTCATACTAGCTTATGAGTGTCTAAACATTAAAGAGAGACTTACCCTAGGCTTCCAAAGATACAGTAAGCTTGCAGGCTTATTTTTATTTTTTTAAAAGGGGGGGAGTTGGAAGCAAGCTCTATTTTAGTTGATGAAGAAATAGTTCAGGAGAATTTCATGTCTGATTCAATAGTTTTTCTACCTACAATTTCAGTGGGAGATAAATCAGGAAATGGAAAGATAAAACTAGAAAAATTCCTATCTCTTAATGTTAAACCTTTCAGGATGTTTCTTCTTAATTTGCAGAAAGTTTACAGGCAGCAACCGAACAGCAACATATTCTTTCTAGCAGACAGAAACCAAACTCTCTCTGAATGCAAAAGTATGTTCCTCAGATGCATTTATATTTCAGATATATTATTTATTTAACTTTAAGTTTTATAATGATCAGTGGGATGAATGGACATTTTTGTTTTCTCACTCTAAGATTATGGCATTTTTTTATGTGCTCAATGGATGGTTTTTACCTGAAGTTATAAAATAATGCTACTTGCACAGAAACTCAATATGTATATGTACAGGTAGTCCTCACTTAACAATGGTAATTGGGATATGTATTTATGGGCTACTTTAAATATTTACATGATTTTTTTACACTTTATTTAAAAGGGGGATTTTCTTTTTTTTCCCCCAGTTACTTTAGATGAACTAAAGAAGGCACATCAGGAAATAGAAAACTCAGAAAAAGCCAAGATCAAGAAATAGCTAAATCAAATCCAAGTTTACAATGTGTGGAATTTGCTGTATGGTCAGCTTATCTGCTCCTGCCCCTCAAAATAGTATCTTTGAAAAAGATATCCTAAATAATCTTAAAAGAAGAGGGCCTGATAGAAGCCAACAACTGGAAAAGATTGTGTTTCATCCTCCATATTGGTGCTTATTTTCTGGCCATGTACTTCACTTAAGGGGGCCAATGACTCCACAGCCGGTGGAAGACTCTGGTAATGTATTCCTTTGGAATGGAGAGATCTTCAGTGGAATTTCTGTAGAAAATGAAGAGAATGACACTCAAGTTATTTTTCGGCAACTCTGTTCTTGCAATAGTGACTCTGATTTTTTGACAGTGCTGTCCTCCATTCAGGGCCCATGGTCTTTTATTTTTTATCAGGCATCCAGGCATTGCTTATGGTTTGGCAGGGACTACTTTGGCCGTCGAAGTCTGCTGTGGCAATTTAATAAAGACACTGACACTGTCCTTGTTCTCAGCTCTGTTAGCTCTGTCTCTAATAATCAATGGTTGGAAGTTCCAGCATCAGGAATTTTTCAGATCGATCTGCAGGACTGTGTTGCACTTAAATCTATTACTTTAATGTTACATCCTTGGAAATTTCCTCCCACACAAAATATAGTTGAAGAAATAGTCACTGAAGTTATAAACATAGTTTCTAAATCTTTACCTGCTTATGTGTCTTTTGTCATGAATAAATCCACTTCATTGGTAGCCCCCATCATTCCTTTAAATAAGGAAATTTCTGACATGACAATGGAATCCCAATTCTTTAGTTTTCCCTCAATTGTAGCTGATGTGGAAGTTCTTCAGAAATTTCTTGCAGAACATCACAAGAAGAAAAGAGCCCATCAATTTATTGATGTATTGAGTAGAGCTGTAAAGAAACGAGTATTATGCCTAATGAGAAACACTGATCCATTCAGAGAAGTATCAGACACAGATCTGAAGAAATCCCATATTGCAGTACTTTTTTCTGGTGGCATTGATTCCATGATTATAGCAGCCCTTGCTGACAGGCATGTTCCCTTGGAAGAACCAATTGATCTTCTCAATGTGGCCTTTGAGATTACAGGTCAAGGTAACCAAAACAGTTCCATTAAGAAATACAACAAAAAGAAGAAACAATTTCACCCTTGTCAGGAATGTCTAAACATCAACAATATTGTGACCAGTGACTCTTCCCTTTCTTTTAATGTGCCTGATAGAATTACAGGCAGGGCAGGATTAGAAGAACTAAAAATCATTAATCCTTCAAGAACCTGGAATTTCGTGGAAATCAATGTTACACTTGAGGATTTAAAAGCAGTGAGAGTGAAACATATAAGACACTTAATTTATCCACTGGATACTGTTTTGGATGACAGTATTGGTTGTGCTGTGTGGTTTGCTTCCAGAGGAGAAGGTCTTCTTACCAATCAGGGAGATGTTCAACCATATAAAAGTCCAGCAAAGGTATGAAATGATTGATTTTTCTCCATCTTTCAGTTACATTTGCATAAAACTATTTAAACTCCATAGCTGGTATTTCAGCCTTAATGCCACTTAATAGGGACTAAGCTCATTGAGTTCTAATGGGACCTATTTCCAACATATTTAGGCTTACACTACACACACAACTGTAAAATGGAGAGAGTTTTGTGGTAAAATAATGCTGCCAATAATGAAACAGATTTAGGAAATGTTCATTTAATATGCAAGGCAGTAAATATATGCAGTTATATTGACTTTAGCACTAGAAATTGCTACAGAGAAAAAAAAAACCAGTTTCATACATTATTATGCATAATTGCTTTTTGGGTTTTCAGTTTTAATTCCTTTTGTTAAATTTCTTGATGAACAGGCTTCAGAAACAAATATTCAATACTAATACCCATATTTTGTTTCTTTTTCTTTTTTGTATTTTGGAAATCTGTCCTCTAAGTAAATATTTTTCATTATGGTTTTTATATAATCATGCTTTATCTTGTGGCTATATGGCTTGATTTCCATCTATTATGTATTTCCAGTTAAATAAAATACCAATACATAACTGAAACTTATATTTACATATAGATTTGTATTTATATATAAATGTTAAATGTTATTTATATTTGCAGTCTTTATCTGAATATCTTTTTAACTAAACTTTCTGAAGCACAATTATGCAAAACATCTTGAATAAGTGGTGGTGTTTTTGATTTTAAATTGCTTTTAGATTTATTTGGAAAGTAATGCTAACATCTGTGTTAGTATTCTATAATCTGTGCTCATTACAGGTTGTACTTCTGTATTCATTACAGATTGTACTTACAGGAATTGGAGCAGATGAACAACTTGCAGGGTATTCCAGACACCGTGCTTGCTTCAAAAAAAGTGGTTTTGAGGGTTTGAGTGAAGAATTAAGAATGGAACTAAGTCGTATTTCTTCTAGGAATCTTGGTCGAGATGATAGAGTTATTGGAGATCATGGTAAAGAAGCTAGGTAAGCAGATGTGCAACAAATAAGACTGTCCTTGAGTGGACTTACTAAAATTCGGATAATGATGAGCAAAAGCAGCAAATGTCTAATAGATAAAATGGAAGAAACCATTCACATGCTATAGTAAAAGAGGGCAGACTACTTTTTAAAAAGCCCTTTCTTGTCATGCATGATACATAGTTCTCTCCTGATGGTTAATATCTCAGGAGTTCAGTAGCATTAGTAGCTATTAATTCAGTACTAATAATTGCCATATCAGAACGAATCTTTGGAATGGATCCATGGGACATGAGTTGTTTATAAGTCTGTGAGAACTGTAATGCATTTTCTCTTGGGGTGGGGGAGGGTTAAGACAAGGTATAGAAGTTAAGAAGCACCTAGAGCAGTGTGTAAATAATTTGCTCATTCTCTCCTCACCCATTTGGGATCTCAACCCAGACAACAGCCCTTTCACACATCTCTCTAGCAATGAAATCTAGCTCTTGTATCTTGTTCTGGAGTGTTATACAAGTTGCTATAGTAGACTAGTATTGTAGTATATGACTTTTCTGGTAAGTCCTCACATCTGAAGTTGCCATCAGAACACAGAATTTTAAATAATTTTTATCATTGGTTTTCTTCTCTTGGTGCAAACAAACTCTCTTCAGCGGCTGAGATCCAAGACACTTTAACTTATTCTGTGGAATGGCATGTGGAAAAGAGTGTTGAAACTAAAGGAACTTCTTATCTAAGTTCTTAAGGAGGTTTTTCATTGAAAGATAACAAAAAATGCAAATTTACAACTTTTCAGCATTGATAGATACAACCTGGATTTGGACTAACTTAACACATTGAAATTAATAGGACAAGTTAATTACAATTGACATAGCATTCAGTACAGTATCTGCCTATGGTTTTGCACTGGTGACTTTTTATAGATGAATGTATTAAAAATGGACATTTTTTAAAATATACAATTAATTAGCCCATTCAGTTCATTAAAGAAAGCTTTGTTTGCACTTGTTTTTAAAACTTGTTTTTACTTTTCTCGGTATAATTTTTCCTTTCAGATTTCCGTTTCTTGACGAAGAGGTTGTATCTTTCCTTAACTTGCTTCCTGTATGGGAAAAAGCAAACTTGGCTCTACCTCGTGGGATTGGGGAAAAATTGCTCTTGCGTCTAGTAGCTGTTGAGCTTGGTTTGACAGCCTCTGCTGTTTTGCCAAAGCGGGCCATGCAATTTGGTTCTCGGATTGCAAAAATGGAGAGCACCAGTGAAAAGGCATCTGACAAATGTGCAAGACTCCAGTCAGCTTCAAGAGAATAATTGTGTTTATAGTCCACAGCTACTTTTTCAAGAAGCATAATTTTATAGTGAGCAAACTTCAAACGACTTTGTATACAGTTAAGCTAAGACTGTGATTCTGCACATTTAACTGGAAATAATCACCAGCAATTTCAAGTTATTTCTTAAATTGTTATACATAGGAGCAGGGACTTCCCATTAAGGTAAGAATTACAGTTAAGTTCTGCTAATAACATAATAATACGTTATTAGCAAAACTAATAACTAATAAAAAGTGTATCACAGTTTTTATCATAGCTATTTAGATTATCTGTAATAAATTTTATGGGATACATTTTTGTGCCATGGATGTTAACTGAAATAAACTGTATTTATTAAAGAAGCATATTAGCTGCTGCTTCAAAGAAATTTTAATCAAATCAGATTCTACCCTTGTTTAGGTTCCACAGTAGAAACTTGAAAATACTCAAGTGATTAAGAGATAATAGGTCTGGACTCTTGGTTGGAATAAAGGGGCTGGGGATATATTGTAATATTTTGTTTTATGACCTATTTGTAATACTACATTCACAACCTGCATCAGATCCGAGACCCAGAGAGTCAAGTATATTAATAAAGCTTAACAATTTGTCTTCTTGTTTCTCATCTTTAAATAATATATTCACAGCACACAAATTGTATGCTTATACAGACCTGCTGCTATTCTGTATCTGGACATAAAACCTTGTGAAGTCATGGTGGCATAAACATTTGGAGGCTACAGTCAACTATGTCATTTGGAAGACTGTTTTCTTATGCCATAATAAATGTTTCAGTCTTTAAAGTGACGCTACTTTTTACTTAATGCAACAACAATAGAGAAATTCAAACTACAAAGAGTAAATAAAGCATTTGTCATCTTTGTTCTGGTATTTTATTGTATATCCAGCGTTCGTCAGGAGAGTCCTCAGAATCCCAGCTATTGTTCTGAAAGAATGTTTATTAATGGATAGTTCTAAATCTGTTAGCTTTTTTACTATGGGTTCTTCCTTCTTGGAAGGTAAATGAAATTTTAATGTATAAAAATCACATCTGTCTTCTACCGCCCAATACCTTTGACAAAGTTCAACCAATAGGTAGTTCTTATCTCTGCCAGACAAACCAACAAGCAGCGACACATGATGCCAACTCTGCAACAGTCTATTCAGTTATCTTGAAAGTGCCCACATTTTAAAAACACTGACTATGTAATGGGCTGCTACTGGAAGAGCTTAGCACGAGAGAAACCTCCCTCTGCTCCCAAAAGGTGTAAATTCAACCAGTAGCAGGCTTCCTTCACAATTACTTTCTCCTGTTCTATGGTTTCCATAGCAACAGTATCCAGTCAGCCTCTCCTTTTTACTCCTCAGTTCACTGTGTAACAGCTGAGGATGTGAGCTGGAGACTCTAGTCCTGGGGCAAAAGGCAAGCCTCCCACTTGCTGATAGATTTACATGCATAGGTTTGTGTTTCAATCACCTTGCTTTTCTGGGATCAATTTTCCAGGGACCTACTTAGAATTTTTGTCCTTTGCTGGTTTTCATTTGTTCTGCTTCCTGATCTAGAAAAGGTAACCCTTTAAACAGTTGGGGGATATCAAGGGTGGCTTGCTGTTTTTACTGCCTTCTCAGTCAGGATGCTTGAACAAGAAAAAAAGTAGGCTTCTCTTTTCACTCTCCTCCCTTCCCTCAGGCCGAAATGAGAATGCTACTTCAAAGTGTTCAAAGATTTCTCGTCACACCAAGGACTGCAGGAATGACTGTTGGCTTGAGTATGGTAGGGATACGCATGACTTTACTGCATGTGTTTCTCTACCCAGTTCCTCCTAGTTCATTTCCTGGCCCAATTCACACATCAAGCCAACTGTTTCATTAAGCCACAATTGGCTACATTCATGCATTACATTTAAGTCAAAACCAAACAGGCTACAGCTTGGCACAATGTGTACCAACTTTCTGGAATACCTAAAGGCCTATCTTCTCCCATATGTGGGCCAGTTTGATGGTGAAGATCTTTTGAAGAGGCACTGCTTGGTCTACATCTAAGCTGCAGGTGGTTAGGAAATCAGAATGCCTAATATCTGCACTCAGACTTTGTATTCCATGTTAGGAAGGCCCCTCAACTTTTTATGTCCCATGCGTTGATCTTTTTTGTCCAATATTTTTTTGGCAAACTTGTTTGGTTACTGGATGAGTAATAGTTTTCCCTGCAGTGATTTCAGTACGTTCAAACTGTTGCTCTGTATGGTCTCATTTTAATCTTTTGTGTCTGTATGTGTACATGTGTGTTTTCAGACAAAACTTTTCTTGCATAGTCAACCTATTTTCTTCATAGAATTGTACAGCTATTCCAGTCTTCTACTGTAAAACTCAGTGCTACTTCTTGTATTTCTTATATACTCAGTGAAGGAAAGATAGATAAAATAATCACGTTTCTTTTTATTGATAGCACTGGAAATGGTCTGTTTGGAAGTACCCCTGCTATTTATTGCTATCTGTATTGTTTTCTGGCAAATTAAAAGGAAAAAGAGTCAGAAAGAAATGATATAAATTCTATAACACCACCTCCTGGCCCTATAGAGATGAGGCAGGGTAACTCAGCCACTTCTTCCCCTTTCTCCTTTTTGGGAGACAAACCAATTTCATAAAAGATAAATTAATCAAACTTTATTTAAAAAAAGAAAAAATGAAAAAGCCAAAAAGCTAATTTTACATTTTTTTTCTTTTTTTAAATAATCAAGCAAACATTCAGTGATAAAAGAGAAGAAAATACAGAATGGTTCGCACCTCAGGAACCATCAGTGACTTAAAAGGAGCTTCCATAGAGAAATATAAAGGAAAATAAAAGGCTTGGGACAGATCATAACATGATGCTAGTCTTCTAATTTAGAGGTTGTAATTTGCATAAAACAGATAAGAACTGAGCTTGTACAAATACCAGGGACAAAATAACCAGACTTTACACACACAAAGAGAAAATAAAAGTTAATATTATGCAATGCTTCTAGCTAAACCTTTTTAACCTATCCTTTCAAAAATAGTCCTTTTCCTAAAACAGATTTCCATCTGTCTCATTTCTTCCTGGAAAGCCCTTCTAGATCCCTGAGGATTCTAATCACTTAATTCTGAAGATGCTGAGGAGATAGAAGGTGCCCCATTTCTTCTCTCAGCCTGTTTCCAAGTTCTGCCTTGATTTAAATCAACCCATATAGTCATTTATGGAAATGGGAGTAATCCCATCATCTCTAGTCACACCCCGCTCATCCCTCAGTCATCTTGAAGTATATTGAATCTCAGACACTGTTGGCTGTAAGTGAACATGGGGTAGGGTTTTCCTGAACATTCACTATATACCCACATTATTGCTTTCTTTCTTTTTTTTAAGGCAAAATTCAGCTTCTCTAAATCATTGTATTGTTAATGAATTTTGGTGGAACGATCTTGAGAGATTGCAAGAGTCACAAAAAATGGGAGGGCTATAGGCTGCCTTTCACACCATTAATGAATAAATACCCATCATCAATGTAGTTTCACTCCCCTAGATTATCATTTGCTCCCAAAATGGTAGAATGTTTGGAAAAATTATGGAAGTTTACTAGAAATTCATTGATTATAATGGGTACATTAAGGTGCTGTTTATCTCCCACTAAACAACAAATTGGTTCTATTCATACTCTGTTGAACAGGGTTTTGAATTTCACTCCCAATTCAGATATTCAACTTTAGTATTAAATGGAAAGTGTTATGGTTTTATTCCTCTTCATGTCAAATCATATCAAAATATGTTTAGACTACTCACTAATTCAAATAATCTAAAAATAAATTAATAAACAGACTATAAATTAAAAGGACAAGAACTTGACTCAAAGCTCAGTGCAGCAAAGTATAAATAGTTTTGTAAAACACACTGCTGTTTCTAGGCATTATACCTGAATTTTGGACAAATAAAATAGGGCATATAGAACAATTCCTAATGTCCCGATTTCCCTATGTTGAATAGGGCAGTTTGCAGAGATTCTCCTTGTGTTCATTTCAATGTATATTGAAAAACCCATTGAAGCCAGGGTTGATATGCATAGCTTCATTCCTTTCATTCATATCTTATTCAGACACAACACCAGGGACATCCGCAGAGGGGGTATAAATGTTAAGATGGCTACCGCAACAGCATCATTGAAGCCCCATCCCCTTTTTATGTGAGTTGCTTCAATCACATGGTTGTCGTCGTCTTGACTGTTTTGATCCCTCTGCGGATGCTCCTGGGTAATACCTGAACTGCTTCATGACATTATTGTAATTTCTAAACAAAATGAAGAATTGAGTCTCAACTATACACCTCATATTAATCTAATTAAATAACAGCATTGATTAGTAATAATCTATCACTTTTCTTTATCAGTATCCACTGAAATATTACATAATTTAAATATATTTTCCTGTGAGCAGTGAAGCAAATTAACAATAGTTCCAGGTGTGTGATGCATTGATGCAGTCATTTACCCTACCAATTTAAAAGTAATAAAGGATAATTATACTATTTAATAATAATTTAGTGGGACTTCCATAATTAACTTTAAGCAACCAGAGAATTATGGTTACTCAACCTTCACCAACCTAAGTGTCTTGGACTACAATATCCATCTGTCCCAGACAGGATAGGGATTATTAGAATTGTAACCCAAAATGTCTGGAGTTGCCAAATTGTGAGGAACCGGAAATGTCAGAAATCTACTATAGCCATTTGTCATTACCATGTTATACGGTTACGTTTCACTGCTTTGTGTTCTTTATAAAAATATATTTTCTTTCAACAAATCTTAAGACACTTAATTTCAATTTTTAATTGCCCCCCCAATAATTTATATTTAGAAACAGCAGAACAAAACAGTTTGAAGAATGTTGAGACCAATTAAAAAGCAAGTCCTTAGAAATGAACAAGCAGACGAGGCAACCTATTTAGCACACCTTGCAGCGCAGAGAAATGCTAGCGCCTTCTTTGAGAAGTATGAGCGAAGTGAGCTTCAGGAATTACTTACCACTTCGTTCTGCAGCTGGTTGGCATCCAAAGACGATTTGCGTCATCCATTAGACCTTCCCAGTGGACTTCTGAGTCAAATGAGAAGCATCAATACTCAAATAGCGATTTTGCTTATGCCAGTGGAGCCAGGATTAGATTTGGACTGTCGGGAAATTCATCAAATGATCAGAGAGTTGGCTGTGGGCATTTATTGTCTGAATCAAATCCCTTCCATCAGTCTAGATGCCAATTACGATCAGAGTACTTCTTGTTCACTCCCTCCAGCGTATTTTGATACAAGAATAGGACAAATGTTAATTGCTGTTGACTATATGTTGAAAGCCCTGTGGCATGGGATATACATGCCCAAGGAAAAAAGGGTAAGGTTCTCTGAACTGTGGCGTTCTAGCATGGATATTGATCAAGATGGTGTTCCCCAAACAGAAAAAACGGCTGCTGCAGAGTTCTGTCAAGCTGGTAAGAAAAGTTTGTGTTGACATGTTTGTGACCACTGCATGAAATATAGCACAAGGTATAAAGGAAGTAATAATCAGGATGAAAACTGTGACACATATGACAATTGCACATATCTGATATATGCAAGTTATAAATACATATCAAGAAGCTTCCGGCACTCATGGCTGCCTGGCAAATGTATGCCTAAGTGAAAAAGACATATAGGACCTAGCCAATGGAGAGATCATTACCCCTGTTCTCCAACTCCAGAGATGCCACCCAGCATCACTCCCCATCTTTTACCCAGACACCAAGCTTAATAAAATCCCAGAGTGCCCAAAGCCAACCAAAGGCTGAGTGCCTAGTCCCAGACAATTGTTCAAGGTCCTTTGCAGTCACCAAGGCACTTCC